AGAGGGACAGAGGGGTGCTCTGCAGTGAGCTCCCTGCACCTGCCATTCCTAGAGGGACAGAGGGGTGCTCTGCAGTGAGCTCCCTGCACCTGCCAGGCCTAGAGGGACAGAGGGGTGCTCTGCAGTGAGCTCCCTGCACCTGCCAGGCCTAGAGGGACAGAGGAGCCCTGCACTGTGGGTGGTTGCTATAGGAGAAGGCTTTGCCTGTCCCAGCAGCAACATGGGAACACTCTGGACACAGCAGTGTTCTCGTGGGCACTAGAGCTCTCTTCCGGAGTCTGCATGATGGTGGGCCTGAGAGCTCGTCTCCTGCCCCCTCTGCCTGTCAGGTGGAGCCTGTCTGTCAGAGGCTGTGTGTGGCTGAGCATGCTCAGGGTAGCCACAAGGAGGCAGGGAATTCGGACCTCCTGACTCATGATAGAGAACTTGCTGTCACTGGTGGCAGGTAACCGTTGGCAGCGCTGTCTTTATGCTGCCACCGAGGGTCGCTGCTTGGTGGAGGCGGTGGCAGTAACTGGCAAGGTCTCTGCTGAGGTGGACCCCTTCTCTCTGTGCCCCTGGGGCTGACCGGGCAGGGAGGATGGACGCAGAGTCTGGGGCTGTGACCCAGCACGGCCAGCTTCCGTGTGAGCCCCGCTCTGCCGTTCTTGGGGGAGGCCTGGCTTGCCTCTGTGTGCTGGGTGCAGGTCGAGGTCACGTGAAGGGAAACGGGAGTCTGTCTCTTGCAGAGCGATGCTGATGACGGCCTGCGATCTTTCTGCAATCACGAAACCCTGGCCCATCCAGCAACGGGTACGTGGCTCAGTGGTGATGAAGGGTGACTGAAATGTCAAATCCGGGGCAGCCAGTTCCTGAGGCAGCCTTCGCAGCCGCGCTCCGGCACGCTTCCCTGGCTCCGGCGCTGTTAAAGCCGGTGACTGAGCAGGGAAGCCTGTCCTTTCCAGGAAATTCACTTGTACTTGGTATCTGATACGTCAGGAAAGAGCATCTAGATTAACACATAGCAAAGCCCAGCTCCTGGGAAGGCTAGTCTCAGCACTATTTGGGCTCATTTGGGGATTTTTTTAGCACATCCTTTTAATAATACTGAAAATTAGAAGGAAAGTCATTTTCTTAGGTTTGCTTCCTAGGCTACTCTCTGCTCTAAGTGGGCTTAGCAAGTGGAGTGTCCACGTTCCTGGGGCTTGTAGATGTGGGAAGTGCTGAAGGGATGTCGGGAAGGACCGGCCAGGTGGAGGAAGCTCAGGAGAACCACTGGGATGCAGAGCTGTCTGCGTGGTGGCTCGGTCCCTCAGGGTGTGCAGGCTTGGTGCCCCAGGGAAGGTGTGGACTTCCTGTGTGTCCAGCCTGGCTGCCTGGTCCTGGGCACAGCAGCCCAGGCTCATGCAGTGAAGCGCGCTGAGACACGAAATCCCCTCCAAGTGACGAGGCTGGCAGGCCCTGGCACTCGGGCGGTGGTCACTACCTCCCTGCCCTTGTGAGATGGGACTATAGGCCTGTTTCCAAACAGGAGGGAAGTGGAAGACAGGGTCTGTCTTCTGAATGAAACTACCTATGGTTTTGTTGTAGGAAAAAAAATAAGAAAGGAAATTTGTTTGTTTTTATAAAAGAAAAACTATTGGGAGCTACCAGAGAGAGGGCTGGGGAGGAGGCTGATGTACTCACAGAGGCCCGCAGAGAGCACCCTCCACCTGCCTTGGGCCTCCTCAGCTACGCCCTGGACCTGCGTGCCATCTGTCCAGTGGAGGTGGTTTTGAGGGCTGCATGGCAGTGCTGGCCTGGTCCACGGTAGGAGCGGTCTGCAGGGTGGAGCTGGCCTGGAGCTGTCCAGCAGCCCCGCTGACTCCGGCGGCCCTTCTCTTTCCGACTCCTTTGCTCCTGGAGCTAAGCACGCAACCCTGTGAGAGCCGTGACTGTCGACAGAAACCTCCACCACGTCAGAACCAGGGGACAAGAACACGAGGTCACACCCACAGAGATGGCATGGCACGAGTCGGGATTACCAAACTGACACTGCCTTAAAGAATAAATCGTGATTTACCCCAAGAGAGAAAAAAAGTGAGACTTTGTGTTGGAGCAAGTAGCCAATGGAATTAAATAAGCAAAAGTAATTAAGAATCATAAGAATTACAAATAAAGAAGTCAGACTATCTCCACCTGCAGGTAAAATTATCATATATCTGGCAAGCTAAGTGAGCAGATCAGTTATAGGATAAAATAGAGGAGAAGCCTCTATGACGGGAAAGAGTAAATAAAGGTATTAAATACCTAAGGACAGACAAACATGCAAAAGCTATATGAAAGAAGTTAGAAAACATTTTGTGTTGCTAAAGCAGAAGATGAGATTGATATAAATGAGAAGGTGTAGCATGTTCTTAAGAGAAAAAATCAGTAGAAAGGTATTGTTTCTCTCTCTTTAAGCCAATTTACAGATTTTAGGCTATTAAATTTTTGTTCTCAAGCTAGAAAAAAAATGATTTTAAAATTTATTTAGGAGGAAGTAAAAAGCAAAAAGATACCCAAAATTTCTGAAAAGGTGAAGCAATTAGATGTTGGTGTTCTTATATGGAAACAATACTGCGAAGTCTATAATCACGAGTGTCTGGTCTGGGTGGCAGATCAGCAGAACACAGGAGAAGCGCAGATGGTCAGGACTGCACAGTGTTCACTGTATAACAAATAGCACTCCAAATACAGGAGCAAATGACCAGTGGAGGGAGACAGGACTGGTCCAGTGCACACATGTGGACTCCAGGTGAGTTCCAAACCCTGGTGGGCACCTGTGGGACAGGCTCAGGGTGCACAAAAGCAGAGGACCCCACCATCAGAGTCAGCCTCCACAAACAGACTCCAGGCACAGACGAGGAGGACAACTGCCCGTGTCCTGACCGTTAATACCTCAACAGACAGAGCTGAGAGCAGAAGAAAGATGCCCACGACCCTGTGGAAAAATGAGCCAGAGATGGAACACAAGGTCGGTGGGCTTTCCTACGGGGAACGGCTTCTCCTTTGAGAAACTTCCCAGAACCTCAGTCGTCAGAGACACCCACCCAGCAGGCCTGCACGGAACCCCGGGCCAGTGTGTTCCCGACAGTCAGACCCTGGAGGGAGCCGGGACGTCCACCCAGGAGAGTGGGTCAGCATGTGGCAGTGTACCCTCGTTCTGGGAGGTGCTGTGCCCTTCAGGAGGGTCACAGATGGCTCGGGAATGTGCCACACCAAGGGGCGCAGCCCAGCGTCATTCACAGGAAGTTCTAGCACAGGCAGGCTGGCCTGGGGAGTGGCCCTGTGCTTCTGGAGCGAGGGAGAGGAAGAGCAGAGGACGACGGGAGCCTCCTGGGCACCTTCTGCCTCAGCGGGGTGGTGACACACAGCTGCGGGCGTCTGCCGCTACGTGAACCATCCCCTGGGGATCCACACAGCTTCTCCCCCATCGCGGAATCCACAGGTTGACCAACATCCCAGAGTTTTGTAGTGTGCCCGGTTGGGGCAGCCTCGAGGAGTATTCAGACTGGGGCCTGTTGGCCACTGCTTCTGGCATCTGATCCAGACCCTGGGGAGAGCCTGGAGGTGCTCATTCGCGGCTGTTGGGACCAGCAAAGAAGCAGCCCACGGCCCGTCCCCACAGACCCACGCACGTCAGTAGAAATGAGGGTCTCTCTAGGAAGAGACAGAGAGAGGTGTTTGTGTGAAAAAGCTGGAGAAAGAACGTGCTACGTCCCTAATGACATACGAAGGAGCAAAATGTGAATATCTGTATTGTGTGAATATTTATATTAAAAAAACAGGTTTACCCACAACGGGAAGTGAGTGACTCCCACAGAAGGACAGGGAAAGGGGTGTGTCTAGCCAGAGCCCGAGCCCAGAGCGCCACCACGGCCTGTCGGGCCTGTCGCGCAGGTGAGACTCTGGGACGTGCTAGCAGTTTTCCTGACTGTGAGACAAAATTGAGTGTATTTTTAAAATCATGAAGTCTCGGACATAAAGGAAACAGACTTGATGTTTAGTCCTAGGAAGTGCTGATTCTTTCTAAGGGACATTAAACCCAACCACTGGGACACCAGAAAAAACCGCAGGGAGCCCTGGGGGGTGGATCATCGGTGGCAGTTCTGTATTGACACTGCGTGGCATGTGGCACAAAGGAGCATTAAGAAATGTCACCAGGGTTAAGAGCTAGGATTTCCAGCTCAGACTGAGGCTTGCAGAAACCCTCTTGTCCTGAACTGGAGCTGGAGATGTTCTGTGAACCGGGTGTTCCTAGTTCAGGCCCCTGAGGGTGAGTGCAGTGAGCAGACCCCAAGCCCTCAGCTAAGGAGCAGGCTGCGTGCCGCAGTGGTGGGCTGACACCACCAGGAGGCTCACAGGACGAGCGGGAGAGCGTCCCTCACACCAGCAAGGGGCCTCAAGACCCCGCGGAGGACCCGGCTTAGTGAGCCCCTGTGCCAGCGTGGAGTCAGGATGGAAATGCATAAATACATTCCCACCCACGAATTCAAATTAACACTGAAAATACTGAAAACAGCCTCCCGTGGCCATCTTGAGAGCCCGGTTGGTTTTTTTTGTATGTTTTTTGAAGTGGGGAATCAGGCCTCTCTCCTTCCTTTTATGGGATAAAAACTGAAGGGAGCTTTGGGATATAACTACACAATTGCTATGGGAAGCTTCCCTCTATCCTAGTTTAACTAATAAAGGAAAAGGGAATGTTGGCTTTGACCATCACCCTTTCTCAGCCCTGAGTTGACGGACGTAGGCAGAGATGGTTGATGATGGCCAGCGTCACAGACAGAAGCACCTGGGCTTCCTGCAGCGACTGGTGGGAGTGCACAGCACTGCCGCCAGGGAGCCCCACTGAGACTGGTCTCCGCTGGCCAGCCCCCGGCCACATGCCCTAAATGCAGGGGCCAGACCCAGCAGCCTCAGGGAGAGCATCCGCACTGCGAGGCTGCGGGATAAGCCACCAGTTTGTCCACCGAGGCAAGGAGAAACTGAGGAGAGCTGAGAGGGAACGTGTAGGTCAGGAGAAGCTGCAGGGCCTGTCCACCCGCCACCATGATCAAAGGGCCTGTTGCTGCTGAGTCTTGGCAGCACCTGGACTAACGGGTGCTGAGTGAGCTGCTGACCCTGCACATGGCACTGGCTCCCTCTCGCCGGCCAGCGGAAATGGCACCTTGCTCTCAGTGCTCATCCCAGAAGGTTGTGAGATGCCTCCCACGCAGTGAGTCAGTGGGGTCTGCGGGGCTCACCGCTGCGCGGTTCTGGTTATCGGTGTCGGTGAGACACAGAGGTGGGGGTCTCCACCCAGGGTCTCTGTTTTAAAGACTGACGTGCTTCTCCTTGCTGAACGCGGCCTCTTGTTTGTTTCAGATAGCAGAACTGGTAGCAGCTGAATTTTTTGACCAAGGAGACAGAGAGAGGAAGGAACTCAACATCGAGCCCACCGTAAGGACCCCACCTCCTGGCCCTCCCTGGGGCGGCCCAGAGCCATGCTTTCTCCCGCTTCTGTGGGGTCTTCCCCTGGGGACCTGGTGCTCTTTTGTGGTTCGGCACTTGTCCTGTTAGAAGTGGGAGTGTCACCCGGGAGGCAGAAGCGAGGAGGAGACGCTCCGTCCCAGGTGTCCCTCTGGCCTTGTAGCTTCTGATGACACAGGCGCTTGTGCGAGGCAGGTGCCGCTCTGCAACCTTTTCATGCCTGTGAGCAACACCTGCAGCCCCTCCTGGCACCTGCCCTGGCGTCATGATGCGTGGGGCCCTGCCACCTGCGGCACAGTGGGGGGGGGGCTGTTGCTGGGCCTGTGTGGCCCTCTTCACTGTCAGGAGGTTCCCAGAGGGAACAGGACTGGGGCACAGATCTCCAGCAACAACAGCTTCCCGCACTGCGTCCATCTCGTGCAAACCTCCCACGTCTTCTCCTTCCTAGGGTGGGGAGTGCGTGAGGCTGCCGCCTGGCTTCCCAGGCTGGCCCAGTTCATCTGTCAGAGCCCACATGCACCCCTGTTTGTGTCTGTTTTCAGGATTTGATGAACAGGGAGAAGAAGAACAAGATCCCCAGCATGCAGGTCGGGTTCATCGACGCCGTTTGCCTGCAGCTCTACGAGGTATTTATGGGGCGCTCGTGGTGTGCTGGCTTGAGGCATGTCGTGAACTGAAGCCTGAAGAAACCCGAGAGATTGGCGCTAGGCACATGCTTTTTGTTCTAAACCGGGAAAAAAGGGAAAAAAAAGTAGCTTTGCTTCTTTTGCTGATCAATATGTTGGCATGGAGCCGGGAACACGTTTTGTATCTGCTATTCTCAAAAACTTCATTCAGCTTCAATGCCCACTGTGTGCAGGCCAAGGGTCCCCCTGCGTGCTAGCCACAGGCGCCTACTGTGTGGGGTCCTCAGGGGTGTGGGAGGGCAGGGCGTGGCAGTCCTGAGGCTGCGTGCACTCTGCTCTCACGAGGAGGCTGCCTGACTTTTCCTCTCTGCCACACTGTGACTGTGACCTTAAGAAACTCGCCCCGAGGACGGGAGGAAGTGTCTAAGGATGTGCAGGTTCCTGTCCCCACACTCCTACTGGCTTGGCCTATGTGGACTGTTAGGAGTTCGGGTTTTTGTCTGTTCACATGTGAAGAGGCTCCCCACAATACCCAGTTGACCAGTTTAGATGCTTACGACCCAAGTACAGAAAGAAGGTTTCGTCCTTCAAAGTTCAGACAGAAAACTGCTTTTAGCCTTTAGTTTTTGGGAAAGGAACGCTCAGCGTGGAGTTACCCTAGCACGTCCTGGAAACCTGACCAGGGTGTCTGGGATTCAGAGGCTGGGTCAGGGAGAAGGACTCTTCACCAGGCAGGTGGCTCCTGAACCACACCTGGGGTCCATGCAGAGACACAGTAGGGAAGCGGTGCCCGGAGAGGAAGGGGAGCCCCTCCAGGGCACCAGGCCCGGCCCTCCTCTCCTGCCTGCCCCCCTGCTTATCAGTCCTCCGGAGCACCCGGCAGGACTGCCGCCTCCCCACGGCTGGTGGAGGCCAGTGAATATACAAATGGGGTCTGGGCCTCTCAGTCCTGGTAGAGAGTCGTGTCACATCACCTCTGCAGGGTCGTCCCCTGGGCGTCATGTGCCTACAGAGACCCCTTCTCTGTTCGAGTCGGCCCTGAAAATGCCCTGTGACTCCGCGTCCTCAGGAGTGTTCTGCTGCAGGGACCAGCAGGGAGCAGCCATTCGGGCCCCACGTGGGGAGTCGCTGGAGGCAGAGCGCGGCTGTGTGCTTCCCACTGGCTCCTGCAAGCAGGGACCGCGGCGCCTCATGGCGTCGCGCCTCCTGGCTGCGGTGACCGTCTCTGTGCGTCTTTAGTGGGCACACCAGAGCCACACGGCACCCCAACCCCGTCCTCCGGTGCTAGTCAGTGAGTCTGTTGCGAGGAGATCCTCCTCGATGACCTTGCTGCAGCTGAGTCAGACCATGGTGCCACTCTGAGAACTGACCCTGACGGTGGCCTGGGGTGAAAATCCCCTGTGCCTTGCATAAAGCCATTCTGCAAGCCTGCACGCCACCCCCGAAGCCATCTGCACCACACAGTAACCAGCCCTGTTCCCCAAAGAGCAGGTCCCACCAGCCCTGCCTCCACATCTCGGTGCTGCGGGGGCCTCCCTCCTGAGGTCCCTATGTGTTGTCCACGTGGGAAGGCCAGGCCCCCGAGAGGAGTGGAGCGTGGCCTGGGCCGGCTGCGGCCTGCGTCTTTCCACCTGCTTCCTCTCTTCCTCTCCAGGCCCTGACCCACGTGTCAGAGGACTGCCGGCCCTTGCTGGAGGGCTGCCAGAGGAACAGGCAGAAGTGGCAGGCCCTGGCAGAGCAGCAGGAGAAGACGCTGGTCAACGGGGAGAGCGGCCAGGCCAAGCGGAACTGAGGGGCTGCTGGCGCGGCGTGGAGACTCCGAGGCACCTCTGGGAGCCCCAGCCCACTGTGCACGGAGCACACCGTCCACCCTTGGCCACTGCTGTGTTCTTGTTTCTGCACGGCTTTCAAGAGCAGCATGACGTGTTTTCAGGGGACGTTTCCACAGGTTCTGGACATGTCTGTGCCGCGGGAAGCCCACGGCCCGATGGGGCTCTGTGTGCTGGGGGTGTGGGTGCTGCTCTGCCGCTGCTTCCTGCTGGGTTTATGAGAACTGGCTCCGTGTTTTCTGAGTCACCAGCCTTTCAACAAGGTTTGGAGTCTTGCTTTTCTCAAGAGGCCGGGAGGACAGTGTGTGAGCCCTGCTGGGCCTGCTGGGGGCCAGGTGGGGTGAGGAGGAACAGGGTCTGGTCAGGTGGGAAGAGTGAGAGGCCGCATCGCAAGGAGAATGCATCCACTGACCTGCTGTTTTGTGAAAGAATGGGGGTGGGGCTTGGCCATCCCCCCAGGACCCCCAGCAAGGGCCTGCCGTCTCACCTGCAGGGGTCAGCAGGTCAGCGGAGAAGCCCATTCCACCACCAGCCAAACACATGCCATGGGAGGTCCTGCTGAGAAGCAGCGTTTTGAAATCTGAACTTTTGAAAATAATCTTGTCATCTTTCACGTCCTTCCAAGCCACACCTAGATCCCAGCATGGTTGTTGGAGCGCTGACCTGGAGGGACACCGGGCTCCAGGACGGCGGAGCTCAGTCTCTCTTCCTTCAGTCTGTCAGGTGGACCCTGGAGGAGAGTTAGACTGGGTCAGCAGCAGGGCACTGAGCCGTGGGCAGAGCTGAGGGAGCAGGCAGGGCGCCTCCACCCAGTGAGGTCAGAAGCACCGCGGCTGAGAAGCTGCGGTCAGCTCACAAGGCGAGCTGGGCCTGAGCACGCAGCCTGGGCACTGCCCTCGGCCCGCAGTGTGGGTGGCCCTGCAGCTCCCCGTCAGTGTGCACCCTCCTGGGGTTTGAGCCCACCTCAGCGTGCCCCCGAGTTCCCGCTGGCCCGGCGTTGGGGGAGTAGACAGTGGAGCAGGTGGCGCCGAGAGGAACTCTGCCCCATGCGTGCGGAGGCCTTTGGATCTGGGGGGGGGGGGGGGGGGAGAGACTTGGCCTGTCGGCGTCCACCTACGTTAGTCAGGTTTGCCATGACCAGAAGAGCTGACAAGAACCGCAGAGAGGAGCTCCCGGTTCAGTCCGGGGTGACCGCTTCACTGCCCTGAGCCAGGTAGAGGAGGCCGCTCATCTCCCTGCAGCTGGGAAGGGGGCAGGGGCCGGTGGAGAAGCACCCTTGGGGCAGCCCCATGACCCACCTCCTCCCACCCACCCCACCCACAGTCTCCCCAGAGGGCCCCTCCCAGCCAGGGCGGCTCTCACCACCCGGTCTCTTCTCCTGCCCCGAGGGGAGCTCTGGGCACCTCCCATGACCCCACCCTCCCACTTTCCCACAGGGGAAGTGTTTGCTCTGGGTAGCTGTCACTAGGGTGGACGGAGCCCTGGGCGTGGGCGTGCCGGGGTCTCCAGGTCCTTCAGTGCTTGGCTCCTGTTCACATCCTCTCACGCCCTAAAACTCAGCGTGTTCCTCTTAGTGCTGTGTGTGCGTGTGTGCATGCGTGTGTGTGTGCCCGTGTGTGAGCCCCCGGCTCTATTCCTGCCATTCAAGTCCAGAGAAGAGGCGGGATAAAGTGTGGCCATCACTGCACTGTGAGGCGTGTCCAGGGGGCTCTAGCTGGGGTTGCTGGACCTGGACCTTCAGTGTTTTATTTCACGACACATGTGAAATCTAACCTCGCCTCCTGGTGGCACTGGAGTGTGAATCACAGACTCACCAGCAATAGTCGTGTCTGCACACTGACACACCTGTGCACGCGTGCCTGGTTCTCTAGGGTAGACTCTCACAAGCTTCATCACACACCCGTTACGTACGCCCACTCTCGGCAGTGTGCTCAGTTCCCTCGGGTGTGTGCCGCCAGACAGAGCCGGTTCTGTGTGGCGGGTTTGGATGTGTGTCCCACAAGAAGGAGACGCATTCAGATTAGAGGCCCTTAGTTGGTTCTTAGAGAGGAGCTTATCTTGTGTCACTGGTTTGGACCGCGAAAGAAGTCAGGCAGGGCCAGGCTCCGCGTCGCTGCCGACACTGCAGCTCCCAGGCACCCAGTGTGTCTGCAAGGCACCTCCTGGCTCCGCGTCCCCACTGGTGGGAACCCGTGGCAGATGGGGATGCTGCCTGGGGGGCAGGGCACAGATCAGTTCTTCTGTTGGAGACAGAGACAGTCCCCCTCACCCCACCCTGTATGTGTGGTTGCTGGGTTGGTCGGTGGCAGCAGAGCAGGGTGAGGCCACTCTGCCTCGGGGTCGGCCGAGCGGTCCCGAGCTTTCCTGGCTGGGCCCAGGGTGTCCGTGCAGCTCCTCCCTCCTGATCTCCAGCCCGCGCATCGCAGGCACCGCCCGCGGGAATCCAGGGCACTTGCAGAAGCCTGAATGTTGTGTTGCACAGAGTTGGGGGAGGACAAGGACACGGCCCCAGTGCCACGGGCCTCAGCCCACAGGTCCTTGTCACTAGCGTTTCCAAGACGGAGAAGCCAAGGACGCCCTGCTCCCCTGTGGGTCCCCTAAATGCCTCACCTGGGCACAGACCAGCTCCTGGCCCCCATCGGTGGGCGGGCGGTCTCCCTGTGAGCGGTGCTGGAGCTGGGGGAGCAGTCTGGAGCCAGGTCCCTGGAGGGAGCTGCGTCCCCAGCTCCAGCCAGCGCAGTGCCTTTCCCTCGGCAGGTGGCACAGGGCACACCTGCCCCAGAGCGACCCAGGCTCCAGGCCACCCTCCTGAGGCCCTGGCTCTGGCTCCTGCTGTGTTTCGACAGGACGGATCCAGACGCAGCGGCCTGCAGGGGCGGCTTGGAAGGAGGAGTGTGGGGCTGAGCCTGTGCCCGGGTAGGAAGGGACACCGCAGGGCCCGTCACTCCTCCCGTGCCCAGGCTTTTCCTCACCCCAGGCCCGCGCAGGGCCCTTCAGTGCGTGTCCTGCGTCCTCGTCCTGTGACAGCCTCGGGAGCAGCCAGGCACGAGCGGCGTCTGCCAGGCTGTGGCGGCTGTGAACTGTGCCGTGCCGACTTCCGCTCGTGGACACGTCCTTGGATCAGCCGGAAGCCGAGGGATGGCGAACTGTGGATTGTCCTGCAGCTTGGGAAAGGAGCCGAGCCGCACAGCCACTGCCCTGCCTGCCTGCACCTTGGGCCTTTCCACCGCCTCTGAACAAATATGTAGTTTCTGACACTATTTTTATACCAGGACGAGGGAGTCACTGTGTACCTCATGTTCAGCTTTGTAATCTTGGTGATCGTCACGAACGTGGGCCACTGTCCCCTCCCACCCCTGAGCCACCCAGTGGCTCTTCTGTGCCACTCACCACTTGGGCAGCTGTGAGGCCGCCAGCCGGCCGGGGAGGCTCCTGCACTGTGCGACCCTCGAGTTGCCCCGCTTTGTAAAATAAAGAATGAACCGGTCCCTGAGTGCCGCGTGATTGTCAGGGGACCTGGGGTCTTTCCAGTCACAGACTGAAGGGGACTTGGGGGCTGGGGCTGGGGAAGTCGGCCCAGTGGTCGGAGACACTGAGATGGCGCCCACCCAGGTCCCTCGGGGAGGAAAGGCGTGGCTTGGCCCTTACCTCGCCTGCCCTCCTCCAGCAGTGGCCGTCCTCTGGGCAGGGCCTCGCTGTCCTCTGACCACGGCCAGGTGTCCACCACCTGGCATCCAGTTCAGGTCACCTGTGCGTGGGTGACTGGGGGAAGTCCCTGCCTGCAGGGGACAAATGGCTTCCCCTAAGGGCCACTAGAGGGCACGGTTTCCAGGTGTCTTCCTTCCTGGCCGTAAGGAAGGGATGAGAACGCTTTTGGTGGAAAAAAGAAGGGAAAAAATATGAGGGAGGGCAGGCAGGAAGAAGAGGATTTAAGGAGAATTAGTAGGGACCATGGGTACTCTCTGAGCCACCTGCAGGAGCCCACGCCTGGACGGCTCCCGAGAGCCGCAGGCCCTGCCCAGCACAGCACAGGGACAGGCTCCCTCCCTCTCCCACGGGCTGGGAATGCCCCTCACAGGCCCTGCCTGGGCACGTGTGTCTGTGACTGTGTGTGACTGTGTATGACTGTGTGTGTCTGTGTGTCAGTATGTGTTTGTGTGTGTGTCTCTGTGTGTCTCTGTGTGTGTGTCTATGTGTGTGTGTCTATGTGTGTGTGTCTATTGTGTGTGTCTCTGTGTGTGTCTCTGTGTGTCAGTATGTTTGTGTGTGTGTGTGTGTCTCTGTGAGTGTGTCTGTGTGTCAGTATGTTTGTGTGTGTGTCTCTGTGTGTCAGTATGTGT